TTGTGTACCTATAATCAATAATCAACTCCTTAATCAATTATAATTCCATTTTTTCTGCCAGCTTCACCTAGCCCTCTTTTTTACATAACTCTTTCCAAGTAAACACTGAGTTTGATAGAAGACATTAACTATTTCAAATGTTAAGGAACTTTCCAAACTATTGTACCACATGCATTTAGAAAGATATTATTATTGTATGCATCTAGCTCAGGGAATTTCAAATGGCAGTTTTGGGTCCTTTTTCCTGGAATTTCTAGATGCTGTATAGCATCTTGCTGAATACAGATGATTCAACTCAAATACATCCCACTCTCCTCAGTATGATGTTTATAACCATTCTTATAATAATATTTTTATCATGTACTCTATCAGCAATTTTCCATGTATAGTCTGTGGGTCCCTGAGGAAAATAGAAGGTCAAACAGTTTTCCCAAAAAGGTATTAATGGCCTTTCACTGTGTTGCTATTTGCTGATAGTGTAAAAGCAATGATGGCTAAAACCACTGATGCCTTAGCAAGAACTAAGAACCAAACTAGCAAATGCTGTGTTCTTAACTGTCATATACTTGCAACCACAAAAGAAGAAACAACAGATTATTGCACTTGATGAGCTGGGGATGTGTATCAGAATAGGATTTGTCTAGTGTGCTGTACAAGGTCCAGAATTCCATCTCCTGCACCATAGGAAAAAAAATAACCTAACAAAACACCACCTCTAAAATATTATCCAAGTATGGTGATTCATGTCTTCAATTCCAGATATTGGGAAGCAGGAGCATGAGTTTAAAGCCAGTCTGGGTTACAGAATGAGATTATGATTCAGAGATAAGGAGGAAGAGAGAATCTTTTTACTGTATAAACATGATCGGTTCTGATATAATGAGATTAACTTTTGTTCTTCCTCAGTACCTGTCATTTTATTGTTTTTTTTTTTTTTTTTGCCTGTACTGGGGCTTGAACTAAAAGCCTGGACACTGTCCCTGAGCTTCTTTCACTCAAGGCTAGCACTGTACCACTTGAACCACAGCGCCACTTCTGGCTTTTTCTGTTTATGTGGTACTGAGGAGTCGAACCCAGGGCTTCATGCATGCTAGGCAAGCACTATACCACTAAGCCATATTCCCAGTCCTCATTCTACTATTCTTCATGACTAAATAGGATGTATGTACTCAGCACTTCTGCACATAGTAAAGCAAGCCTTGAGGAGAAGCACTTCTGACTGAGCTATGAACTAAACTAACTGCTATTGTTCATGAGTTCTATTTCTGGTCAACAACCAACTTAGAAAAATTATGGTTATAAGGTTTGGATATGTGACATTTTCTCAGAAATAAATAATGTATACTTCTCACTTCAAAGAAAACTGGAGTATTTGTAATAAAATTCAGGTTCTCAAGTGAAAATTAGAATAGAAGCTTATTTACATGTCTGCCATGATAAGCTTGAAAGCTTTTCAGTACTTAAACAAAAACAGACTTTCTGATGAAATCGGCAATGAGAGTGAAAACTTCATTTTCTGTGGATGTTCTGTAAGGAAATATGTCAATATATGTGAGGTTAGTAAACTCAGTAAATCCATAGTTTCTAAGTGACATTAGAAAATCACATGAGGGCTGGGAATGTGGCTTAGAGGTAGACTGCTTGCCTTGCATACATGAGGCCCTGGGTTCAATTCTTTACGACCACATAGGCAGAACAAGCTGGAAGTGGCGCTGTGGCTCAAGTGCCTTGCACGCATGAGGCCCTGGGTTCGATTCCTCACCACCACATAAGCAGAAAAAGCTGGAAATGGCACTGTGGCTCAAGAGTACTAACCTTGAGCTGAAGAGCTAAGGGACAGTACCCAGGCCCAGAGTTCAGGTCCCACAACCAACAGAAAAAAAAAAAAAAAAGGAAAGAAAATCACGTGTGAGTAAAAAACAAGACAGAGCAATGGATTTTAATGGACTACTTCACTTTATGATTTCATAATCCACAGCACAACTAACCTTTAAGAAACTTTTATTTGCTTTGGTATAATATCAAAACAGAAAGTCCAAAATTCTTTGAAAAATGGTTGCTAAAATACTTCTCCTCTCTTTTCCAACTACATATGTATGTGGCTGGATTTTCTTCTTTATAGAATTCATCAAAACAACAATACAGCATTTTTAATAAAGAGAAAATAAATTATCTTCTATCAAATCAGATTTAAAGAGATTTGTAAATTTGTAAATTAATGTAATTTTTCTTGTTTTTTTTTTTAATAGTTATTCTTTTTTTCCCCTCTCTGGTAGTACTGGGTTTGAACTCAGGATGTCAGACCTACTATGAAGCATGCTACCACCTGAAACAGACAGACAGATAGACAGATGGAAACACACACGTACATACATATACATACATATATCTACACATATACACACAGAATCCTTTTTGGATTATTTTTCAAATAGGGGCTGATGTTTTCACCAGCTTCGATTTTCCTTTTTCAAAAATGAACCTGTACATCAATATCAAAAGGTTTATGAGAATTACATGTGCATAAGGAACATCAAATATGTATTACAATACTGGGAACAATGTTTTCATTAGCATATCTACATACTGAACAAGAACTTGAAACACAGTAAAATCTAGGGAGCCTGTCATATTGTCACAGATGGCTCAACGCCTTTAGATTTTCTATTTTTTTCCTTCTGTACAGTAGAAAATAAAAAACGATGATGTAAGGAAATCTCAGCATTCTTCTCTTGCACAAAATGTAGTGAACGTTTTTTACTTACTGCTATAGAGGTGCAAAGTAAAAATTTAAAATATACTTGCAATTTAACATTTCAAACCATTCTATCCAAACAAAACATAGTTGGGCATGGGTGGGAAGGTGGTCATTTAAACAAAAGATGACTGACTAGCAAATCACACAAAAAAATTAAGAACTAGAGACAATAAGGAAAGTTGAACTTTCAAATAGCTAATGTTATTTGCTGGTACTACTAGCTGCTTGCAATTTAAACACATTCAGTAGCACTTGGGTTATGTGTAACTATTTATATTCTACTTTTTTATACCATGCAAAGCTTGTGTGTCTATGCTTCAGTTTGCAAACACACATATGCTTTGTATCATAACAACACACTGTAAAATTACCTCAGATATAGGCAGCTTAAAATCTTCTTTGCTGATCATTCTTTACGTCTAATTTAAAAATAAAGCAAAACATGCAGACCTAAGCATAATCCCACAAGAACACAATTAAATGTCTAGCTAGAGTAATAAGTCATTTGAAAACTATTCAAAAAATTTTAAATAATTCACAAATTAATATTTGTTTAGTAATTCATAATACAACAGAAGTTAATTATTTCCTAAGATAGTTCAGCATAATGTCTGACAAACAATGGGCATCTTAGATAGTGTAGTCAGGACTTAGCACAAAGCCAATGTGGAAATTTGACAGAGCTGTTTCCCTAAGTACCTGCTGGGTGCATTAGCAGGAACTCAGGCTGGTTTACTGGAAGACATAGTGAAGTCTTATTTCAGATGGCAGGAATTTTGCCATCAGAAAGTTCCATCAACATGAGATCATTCTCAAACTATAAGTTTTTATCTTTTCTAAATTTAATGCCAGCCAGGAAATCTTTCAAAATACAAGGACTGATGAAAGAAAAAAAAAAAGACTACCATAGGTAGTGTCCTACAGTTGGAACAACTTGATGTGGTTGGTGGAGGACTGAGAGCATTATGTTTTCTTTCAACTGTAGCAGTCACAATTCAAAAGATAAGACATTTAAAAATAATCCAGAGGGCTGGGAAGGTGGCTCAGTGGTAGAGTGCTTGCCTTGCATGCATGAGGCCTTGGGTTCAATTCCTCAGCACCACATAAGCAGAAAAAGCTGGAAGTGGTGCTGTGGCTCAAGTGGTAGAGTGCTAGCCTTGAGCTGAAAAGCTCAGGGACAACACCCAGGCCAAGTTCAGGGCCTACAACTGATTTTAAAAAAAATCTAGACAATAAAGTTCTGAAATGGGAGACTTAACTCATTAACATCAATACTGAAGGTGAGGAACATAAACTTATTCCTTTGGTCCTCTCCCATCTCAGCAGGAAGACAGGAAGGTCCTCACTTTATTGATAAGGCACTCTAAAGCTCTGATGGACAGAGTCTTTAAGTGACAGAGCTGTTTTATTTTTAAATTTTTAAAAAACTGTTATTATAAAGGTGATGTGCAGAGAGGCTACAGTTCCATGTCAGATAAAGACAGAGCTATTTGGAAGTACGATTCGAATCTATACTTGTTCCTCTCTTCCATTCTAGAGCTCTGAACCACCAAGCACAAATTTTCTATAAATATCTGCATTTGTCCAGAATTACATTCTAGAAAATTTCAGATGAATTATGCCCAAAATTAGGATGAAAATGTAGGGATTAATAATGTATGGGACCTAACAGCATGGATTTCTAACTAGTACAACTCAGTATGTTTTCATTTTTGTCACATTATTCCTAGAAATCTTGTAATAGTTGTAAGATAATCACATTGTACTTCAAGTAATATGCTCTATTAATATAGCAGGTAATATTCCTCAGTTACACATTTGTATGATTTTTTTTTTTGCCAGTCCTGGGGCTTGAACTCAGGGTCTGGGCCCTGTCCCTGAGCTTCTTTTGCTCAAGGCTAGCACTCTATCACTTGAGCCACAACACCACTTCCAGCTTTTTTTGTTTTTGTTTGTTTATATGGTAGTAAGGAATTGAACCCAGGGCTTCATGCATGCTAGGCAAGCACTCTGCCACTAAGCCACATTCCCAGGCCCTAACTAACTTATTTAAGGACCATAACAATCCTAAGGAGCAGGTGCTATTACCAACTCCTTAACAGTAGGGAGACCAAGGAACAGAAACCTTCATTTTTCCCCAAGTGGACACTGCCTATAAAAGTTAGATAGGCTTTATAAGAAAATACACCAGCAACTGCTTATTGTAACTAAGTTTTCTAATCATTTAATAGAAAATTCTTACCTCTGGCTTGCTAAGGCTAGATGAAACCAAGGAACCAGATCCCACGTCTAAATCCCATTGCTTTTTACCATGATCCTCAGCATCCAAGGCAGCGATACGTCCATCTAAAGTGCTGATAATTACTAGTGACCTGTAAATTGGAGAAGGAATAGGACAAAATTAAAAAGATCGCTAAGATATTATGTACTGATTCCACATATTTTAAAGAAAACTAGCCCCTATGAAGACCCCTATTGTATTAGGGGCTATTGTCTATCCTTAGGGCAGGGCAATTTCAATAAGTTTATCTATTCAAGTCACTCATGAAAGCTTCAAGATTCCTAGGTTTTTTGTTTTCTCTCTTTCTCTCTCTCTCTTTCTTTCTCTCTTTCTTTCTTTTCTTCCTTCCTTTTTTGTTGTACTGGGAAAAGCTTGATCTTGCACTTGTTAGGCAAGTACTTTGCCACTAAGCTACATCCTAGCCCCAGATTCCTAGGTCACCTCTCCTTCCATGCAATAATCACAAGGAACTCAGCATCCCCATCTGACCTCTTCTTCCCCTTCCTGGTGAAAGCCTCCCTTTGAAACACAGACCCACCGCAGACCCACTTCCTCTTCTAGAAACCAGATTTTCCCAGGGGTTTTGCTTCCCTACAGAAGAAAACTTCCACTCATAACCCATTGATCCCTGGGTTCAGTGCACTGTTTATCTCCTGGACCATTTTCTTTCTTTTTTCCCTCAAAACACCGAGGATCAGACAGTTCCAGCCATTACCCCTCCTAGAAGTTGCATGCTTCCATTCCTGGAAAATTTGACCTGCTTGTGACGGTCACTGCCTTACATACTCTTGCCTCAGTTCTCTGGGTTTTCACTATCAGTCTACCTTGCCTCAATCACTCCTGTGGTCAGCCTGTAGACTTTGTCATTACCAATAGCAAATGCCGTCCTCAGGTATAATTTACAAAAGTCTTCTTCCTAGCTCATCTCCTCTACTTCCCCGACTCCAGCAAACTTTTAATTCTACCAGAAGCTATAAGCTGGATTCTAAGACCTATCTTCACAATTCTCATGTCCTCACTTCAGAGACAGAGAGAGAGAGAGAGACAGATAGAGAGAGAGACAGAGAGAGAGCGTGCACAGGTGCAGATACTGGGACTTGAATTCAGGGCTTGCTTTTTTGCTCAAGGTTGGCACTCTACCACTGAAGCCGAATCTTCAATTCTGGTTTTTGGCTGGTTAACTGGAAATAAGAATCTCATGGACTTTTCTGCCCAGGCTGGCTTTGAATTGTAACCCTCAGATTTCAGCCTCCTGAGTAGCTACAATTATAGGCTTGAGCCACTGGTAGCCAGTTTCATTTGTTTGTTATCCAATTTTAAGAGCAGAGCTCTTCATCTTAAGCACAACTCCGTGTGCATCCCCAACTTCCTGTGTGTTCCCTGTCTCTCTCTGTCTCTGTCTCTGTCATTCTCTGTCTCTCTCTGTCTCTCTCTCTCTCACATGTCACACTCACTTGAATGGCAGAACATCAACCCTGGTCAGACATTTCTCCATGATCTCATTTCTTGTAGCCCAATGTAGCTGGAGAAAAATGTTAACTGCTGACTGATCTCATTTTACTCATGACCACTAACCTGGAAAAGGCTAACAGTGATGCTCAACAATTGGAACCAATGAACCAGGTTAATTACTCATTGCTCCTCTCTCCTCAACCTTGTGATACCAGCTCCTCCAAGCTCTGGAATGTCAGTGACTGTGCTTTCCAATTTACTGAGGAAAGCAGAAAAAATCATAAGAGCTTGCTTTCTACCACATCTACCCACTTACCAGCAACTGGAACCATGAACTCTTCTCCCTCTTGTGAGTGCTAGTAAACTGTCCTATAGTCTTATCCACTACTAACACCTCTGCTGAAGTAACAGAGCTCTCTCTCCTTCATGTACATATGAAGAACAACTCCTGTAAATGTCTCCTCTTGCTCCCACATCTTCAGCTATTCTCTTGCCTAAAGCATTTCTAGCAACATTTGCTATAGATTGAATGCCACTCCCCTGAGTGACAGTATGAAGCTGAATGTCGGAAAGTGATTAGTTAAGGAAGGTAAAGCCCTCATAATAGTAGTGTCCTCTAAAATGACCCAGCCAGATAGGTGTGATGGTGCCCATCTATAATCCCAACTAGGTAAGAGGATTATTGTCCAAAGTGGCTTGGACAAACTTGAGAGATTCTATATGAAAAACTAAAGCAAAAAGGGCTGGAGGGCTGGGTGCTGGTTGCTCATGCCTATAATCTTAGCTACTCAGGAGGCTGAGATCATGTTTCAAAGGCAACTCCTGGCAGGAAAACCCATGAGACTTTTATCTTCAATTAACAACCAAAAAAGCAGGAAGTAGAGCTGTTGCTCAAGTGGTGGAGTATTAGCCTTGGACAGCTCCCAGTCTTGGAGTTCACGCCCAGGAGTGGCACAATTAAAAAAAAAAAAAAGAATTGGAGGTTTAGCTCAAATGGTACAATGCTTGCCTAGCAAACCTAAAGCCTTGAGTTCAAATCCAGTATTACCAAAAGTAGGGGGAGGGGGGAAGAGGGGACAAGACAGAAAGTCTTTTCCTTTTCTACCGCCTGAGGACACAGATAGACCTGTGAGAAGTGGGTCCTCACCAAACATAATAAATCAGCAGGTACTTTGATCTTTGTCTTTCCAGCCTCTGGAACTGGAGGAAATAAATTTCTCTTGTTTTTAAGGCTCCTAATCTATATTATTGTATTATAGCAACTTAAATTTTTTTTAAAGCATTCAAATTTGCTACCATTTTCCTTAAAAACCAAATCAGAGGGGCCAGATGTTCAAATCTGTAATTTCAGGACTTGGGAGGCTCAGGCAGGAGGTTTATGAGTTTGAAACTAAGTCCTTGTTAAAAACAACAAAATAAAGCTAGGCACCAATGGCTCATGCCTTGTAATCCTAGCTAGGATCTAAGTCACAGTTCAAAGCCTGCCTGAGCAGGAAAGTCTGTACATTGTCATCTCCAATTAAGTACAACAACAACAAAAAAAGCTGGAAGAGCTGTAGTTCAAGTTGTAGAGTGCCAGCCTTGAGTAAAAAAGCTCAGGGATAGGACCCAGTCCCTGAGATGAGCAAGAAAGAAAGAAAGGAAAGAGAGAGAGAAAGAAAGAGAGAGAGAAAGAGAGAGAGAGGGAGGGAGGGAAGGAAGGAAGGAAGGAAGGAAAGAAGGAAGGAAGGAAGGAAGGAAGGAAGGGGAAGAGATAGAGACAGAAAAAGAAAGAAAGGAAGAAAGAAAGAAAGAAAAAGAAAGCAAGCATTACAGACAGACAACAACAAATATTCCATTAATAAAAACAAAAAACCTAGATCAAACTCCTCTCCTGCCTCTAGCTTCTAAACTTGCTTATCTTTGCAACAAAACTTCTTTGAAAGGTTGCTACATATTTCATGTCTCCAAATCCTCTCCTCTTTTATCTGGAACTGTTTTATAATCAAGTCCCCCCCTACTGAAAATTCCCTTGGAATTGCTAATGACCTTCACAGTGACAGTTCCTGAGAGTCAAGGCTCAGATCTCAGTTTCCTTGACCATTAGCAGCACTTGACTGGATACATCTCTATTCCATGAAACATTCTTTATATGGTTTCCAGGACATCCTGCTCTCCTCACATATTTCATGTCTTTCTTTTCTTTTCATTCCTTTCCTTTCCCTTCTTTTTCCTAGCTCAATTTATTCACAGTTCTATTTTCTAGTTACTCTTCAGCTTTCTTCTCTCTTAAAATAGTATCTACCTATGGTGTTAACTTTTTTTGGTGATCTCATCCAGTCTCAGAGCTTTAAATACATCTATATGATAACAATTCCCAAAATTCTATCTGTGGTTCCAACTTTCTCCTCTGAAGTCTGGACATACATGTCTAGCTATCCCCCACATTGAGGCTGTCCACCTCAAAGTTCACATATCCAGAATCAATACCTCCTAGGGATCCCTCAATTCTTCAAACATATGGCATGATTCTCCCTTAGTGTCTTTTCAGGCTGGTACATGTACTCTGACAAGAGTAGTGTCTCCATAAATTACATGGTGAATGAATGAGTATTGGTTCTTAGAATCTATGAGGTTTATTTTCCTACTTTAAAGATCAGGCAAATTCCAAAAGTGTATAGTTATGTTCCTATTTAGGATTACAACTTTATCGCTTCTGTTACACTTGATGTACAATGTATATAAATTCAAAGTAAACTCATAAATTCACAAAACAATCAGTTTAATTACAGAAAATAATAATAGTGCTTTTTGACTTGGAAGAAGGCATACTGAACAACTCATTGAGCAAAAACACCCCCTGTCGGTTGTGGGGCCTGAACTCTGGGCCTAGGCACTGTCCCTCAGCTCTTGAGCTCAAGGCTAGAGCTCTACCACTTGAGCCACAGCACCACTTCCAGCTTCTTCTGCTTATATGGTGGTGAGGTATCGAATCCAGGGCCTCATGCATGCAAGGGAAGCACTGTACCACTGAGCTACCTTCCTAGCCCTGACCAACCACTTTTGACAGTTGGATTTCTTACTTCTGCCTTGCTTTAGTTTAGAAGGGAATTTGTTTGGATGATTCCACAGCAAGCACCATTGCAAATCTTTCCAGCTAGTCTCAAGGAATGTTATCAGTGATTCCGATCTGCCAGGTCCATTCCCCTCACAAACTTCCTTGCAGTAGTCACGCAGGAGCCATCTCCTCACTAGGAACATTCATTCTTCCCTGCTTCCTGTAAGACCAGCTCCTCACAGATCCCCACCTGTCATCCTCATCATCCAACAAGCAGTACCAAGAGGAACTGCAAAGCCAAAGCCCACAGACCAATCTCTCCTTGTGAGCCCCTCATCTACACAGCTTTGAAGTTTACCATCCCTGTCTAGCTAGTAGCTCCAGCAGGATCTACCTTTATAACAAACTATTAGAAAAGTTAACTTCTAATCCACAAACTCTTCCTTATACTTTTTTTCTCCATTTACAGCATAACCATTTGTTTTGTTGCCTAACATTTAAATCAAATATCTACTTTACTTACTTCCTAATTTAAAAATACACTTTTTCTGAAGCTGCTCTTTAAACTGTTTTTCTCCTTTACTACAACTCCTCTAGCTTAGGACAGATTCTCATTTAAAAGGCTCTCTGA